GATCCAGAGGATCAACACAGCGTAAAGAATTTTTGTAGCATACCTACCTATTGATGCATGTACCTAGACTGTTATAAAGTGCACGTGTAACCCAGAGGATAAAACAAATTGTTATTTGCATGTAGCACCTTCAGAATCAGGAATGAGAATATGGCACATTTCAGTTTAAATATTTATGTGATATTAAAGTACAAAACAAACATCTTATGAAAAAATATGTTTTCAGAACAATGACTTCATGAAACGTGTTATTGTTTTCGAGGAACATGGGGTATTAACTTGACGCAATCATAGTGATATACATGATTGTTGACATTGATAGATATATATATATGTAAGGTTATCAATATTATTTCATAAATAATATTTTTAAAGTAATAGCTACAATGTTGTAATATTATTGGACAAAAAGCTACTGTCATCACAGGTTGTATATGCGAGTACTGACCCGTGAAGATCCGGGGTAGAATAGGTCTTCAGCAACCCATGCTTGCCCCAAAAGGCGACTATGCTTATCGTAAGAGGTGGCTAACGGGATCGGGTGGTCAGGCTCGCTGACTTGGTTGATGCATGTCATCGATCCAAATAGCTTCCATCGATGCTCATGTTGTCAATCACTGGATTGTCTGGTCCAGACTCGATTATTTACAGATCGCCGTCATATAGCTGGAATATTGCTGAGTGCGGCGTTAAACAACAAATAAACTTATTTGTAACAAATATCAATTATTACTACGTTTGCATACATTCTTTTAAAATATCATGAATATCAAACAATCCATAATTTTAAAATGCCAAGTTCATCATCAAATTCAACCATCTAAACGCATTTATCAGTTCATAAATAAATTGCGACAAAACCCTTCTACATTTCATTAGAAATAAAAAAGCAGAGTCGATTGTACGATTCCGACTATATCATAATCATGTGTTTATGGGGGGCCGGGGGCTACGATGAAACCCCAGTTTAACAGCGGAAACATGGACCCAGTTTCAGTAGATACAAAACGTCGAATATGAAATTCGAACCAACGATCATAAGATGCTGGCTCGACTAAGGGACGCAACAGTATGTCTTCCTCCGAAGAAAAATATGTCAACGCATCAGATCACCTGACTATTTACACTGAGGCACTGGTTGAAAACTATGTGTTTATAACACAGGTAACCAGCCGCACGTGCTGCACGTGGAACGTCATCTCTACATGGTCTGGTTACAACAGACCTCCTTGGATACCAACTGCTGCTCCCCGTCATAGAATGGCTAACCCTACACGAATCAAGGAGGTGTATACCCGCTACACTTACAGCTCAAGAAGTGTATTCCCGCTGGTTTATAGCTTAAGAAGGCCTGTACCTGCTACATTTACAGCTCAAGAAGACGTTTACCTGCTACATTTACAGCTCAAAAAGGCGTATTCCCGCCACATTTACAGCTCAAGGTGTATACCCGATAGTTTACAATTTAAGAAGGCCTATGCCCGCTACATTTACAGCTCAAGGTGTATACCCGATAGTTTACAATTTAAGAAGGCCTATGCCCGCTACATTTACAGCTCAAGGTGTATACCCGATAGTTTACAATTTAAGAAGGCCTATGCCCGCTACATTTATAGCTCAAGGTGTATACCCGATAGTTTACAATTTAAGAAGGCATATGCTCGCTACATTTACAGCTCAAGGTGTATACCCGATAGTTTACAATTTAAGAAGGCCTATGCCCGCTACATTTACAGCTCAAGGTGTATACCCGATAGTTTACAATTTAAGAAGGCCTATGCTCGCTACATTTACAGCTCAAGGTGTATACCCGATAGTTTACAATTTAAGAAGGCCTATGCCTGCTACATTTACAGCTCAAGGTGTATACCCGATACACTTACAGGGGGCACGGGTGGCCCAGTCGTCTAAGGCGCCGCGATTCGCTGTGCAGAGTTGCGTCCCTTGGACACATCAGAAACCTGTGATTGTGGGTTCGAACCCGGGTTCGCCCCGATTATGTTTCTATGTTTGTCAGCACCATACCCGTGCTCGTGGGTTCTTACTTTAAGCTGACACGCCGTAAAATAACTGGAATACTGTTAAAAGCGGCGTTAAACCAACTAAGTCAGTCAGTCGATACATTTACAGCTCAAGCAGGCGTATACTCGCTACATTTACAGCTCAAGAAGGCTTCTTCGAAAGATGACCGATCGCCTCCGTGGTCTGGTGGATAGAGGGTCAGTCTGGAGATCGGAACTTATTACCGTGTCTGGCGCTCGGCAATAAAGGGATAAAACAAAGACGGGTCGGATAAACAACAAAAGAGTTTTCGTTTATAAACCTATCAATATTTATTTTATATCACAACACCGTGTATGGAATTGCAACAATTAACACTATTTTACGCTATTTTTATCCTGACAGTATAATGTTTGTATTCTACACAACTTAGCCGCAGCAACCATATCTCTGTGCTGCTCCCAGTAAAAACTTTTGATATTGACTTGTCGCTACACAGAGCTACGGGCAGTCATGGTGTTTTCGTAATATATCCAACGCCAACTGAAAGTTAGCATGTCATTCGTCATTCGAATGACGAAAGACGAATCATTTCGTCTTTCGTCATTAGAATGGCGAATCACGAATTTTTTCGTCATTCGTCATTCATCTTACACCATTAAAATAAATGCCAATAAATCCACGATCGCAACTTGATCGCAACGCCAACTTGAAGTTAGCATGTCATTCGAATGACGAAAGACGAATTTTTTGGCCATTCGTCATTCAACTTACAACACTAAAATAAATTCCAATGGCGAATGACGGATAACATGCCAACTAACGACAAAATGAAACACGATTCGCTTCCAAAGACACTTGCCTTCAATACACGGGTACTTTTATAATTGGCATTGGCGAGCATTGGCGAGCTAAATACATAGTGTTTATTCCTAATACAGGATATTTACCATCCCCAAACACACAAGCGTGATAACCTCTTTATCATATAATGTCATTCTTTAATTCTGTGCTTTAAAATCGCTTTCCCTCTCTCACAAACATTACCGAAAAATTGCGAGTTTTCTTGGAATGCGCGCATTAATATTTATTACGTCACAGGGTAAGTGATGTGTCAGTACGACTGTGACAGTAGCCAATATAGTTCCAACTGAAATCTGTTTCATATACAGTGGCGAAGCAACTTATTCGCAAAACAATAGTTGTTTTTAATTGCCTTTCGTGGCAATCCATCGGTCTGTCCGCTAGAGTAACTGCCCTTTGTCAAAGGGAAGCTACTCTAACCCTAGTCTATGAGTCACGGCCACGGTCAGACGTTGTTGACAGTCGGTCTGTCCTTTCATAACGTTAAGAAGTGTAGTCAGATGTACATACAGCGACAAATCGAAACAAGGTAACAGTTCAAACATATTTCGGCCGAATCCAACCATTTTGGTTTGTGGAGAAGGTTTCAAGCCACAGAGGTCTACAAGCACAGATATGGCTACTGATCCCGCTTGGCTAGGCCTCGTGCCCTCGCAAAATTGTTTCGAAATTTATATATCGAAAGTTACCAAAACTTATAAAATGCCTTAGCTGACGTCACGGTTAGACACTGATTTTCAGTATATTAGACTGTTCGTTTGATAATGATAGCAATTATCCCTGTAGTTTATCCAGATTCACGATGGTTAATTCTGACTCGATCGCCGAATGACGAGGGCGACGCCATGTTTGTTTATAAACAGTGAAAGTAGTCCTACTTGACCTTTGGTATTTGCATCTCTATCCGCATATGACCCCAACGGATATCGTTTTTATCCGTTGGCTTTATCCTGCCGAGAAACCTACCCATTATATGATAAAGAAGGTTCCATGATCTCAAAATATTAATACACATATCAGAAGGCTCGTGTTTTAGGCAGCGAACCCTGTTGCAGTTTTTCTTGGGAGTACGGTTCATGTACATTATGGCAGGGTAGTTAGTGCGGTATGTTCAAATTTGGGAATCTATTAGGAAAAGGGGCGGACCAGCCAATATGGTCAAGTCAATATGAACCTTATTATAGGGCGCACCACAGTTATATGGTTACCGCGTCTTATCACAACTGTGCGTCACATCATTGAATTTTCACACATATGTATAATGTAAATATATACACATATATACACACTCGGCAGTGGAGAGATTATGCGAAGAGATATGAATGTCCATACAATCATCTTATCGAATACGTCATTAAACGATGACGTCACTATGATGATCCCAATTGCGTGGATCGATGCACATGATGTCAATCACTGGATTGTCTGGTCCAGACTCGATTACTTACAGGTCGCCGTCATATAGCTGGAATATTGCAAAGTGCGGCGTTAAATAACAAACAAACTTATTTGTAACAAATAACAAAATAACACACGGACCACGTTTGCATCTATAACAAGTAGTAAGCCAAATACGTAGATCCATGCACATGATGTCAATAACTGGATTATCTGGTCCAGACTTCATTATTTACAGGCCGCCGTCATATAGCTGGAATATTTCTGAGTGCGGCGTAAAACTACAAACAAACAAACAAACACATACAGTGAGCCACTACATAGGGCAGTGGGGTAGCTAGCCTAGGGGTTAAAGTGTTCGTATGTGTCGCCGAATGCCCGTGTTCGATTTCCAAAATTGGTACAATTCTGGCATAAAAAAGCCATGACATCGCTGGAATATTGCTTAAAAAAACGGCGTAAAACTATACTCACTCAATCGTTACATGTCGTCAACAGGAAGCTAAAGTGAGGATGTGAGGTGAGGTGAAATGGGGATTATTGCACTTATCTAGCGACGCGCATACACATGTGTGTGGCTGCTTGTACCAGTCGGGACTGATGTCGATTTTTAGTGCTAGCTCACTGAGATGCCATGCCGCAGTTTAACACGAATATCCCACTCTGACACAGTACACTGACTCCGAGCCGACAAGTCTTTGTTATAGCCCCTTAATGCCGAGCGCCGGTCAGGGTAACAACAAGTACCATCTTTTAACGTCTTTTGGTATGACGCGGCCGGGGATCGAACCCCGGACCTTCCGCTCTCCGGGCGGACGCTCTACCCCTAGACCACGGAGGCGATGGCTAAAGTGGGGATCGGATGGTATCAGACTTAGGGGAATATGTCACCACACCCTACGGCGTATGAGGTGATCATGCTATTAACCACTGGGTTTATTTACAAACCGCCGTGAAATAGCTGAAATATTCCGGCGGCGTAAAACAACAAACTCCCGTTGTGTTCACACAAAGAATGGTTCGAGATCAAACAACTTGTATCCTTCCTTCGTCTTGAGGGCTTTCCTGTCGTAGTCTTTGTTCACGGAGTTCAACACACAGTGTTTGGGAACACTCAGATCGTTCTTTCCGTCCGTCAACAAATATTCATAGTTGAATGATTTGCAGGACCCTGAACGAAGACATAAACGCGCGCAGGTCAGGGGCCGATCCACAATCACTTCCTCAATTTCGTAGCCCACAATCACCCAGTCCTCCAGGTCCTGGCCAGTGAATATGTCCTCCTTTATTTTTGTGTTGGACACTTTATCCATAATCTTTTTCAAACCCGCCACATGGTCCGGTGGGCATTCCCGCATCAGCTTCTCGACAGCGGCCACGTCTGTAAAACACATTAAGATGAATCCATAGCATCGTCAGTTGAACTTTGTGAAATATAAGTTAGTAAGGGAATAATGTTCTTAATTCTTAATGTTCTTACGAGCGCAGACTGCCTCGCCAATGTTATTTAATGCTCAAATCACTGGACCATTCTGGTCGCACCACATGGGCTACTCACATTAAGAATATTTTGTTTAAATTAGGTTTTGGATATGTATGGTTAGCACAAGATGTTGGCAATGTGAAGGTATTTATTCATTTTTTTAAGCAAAGATTATTTGATAACCTTCAACAATCATGGTGTAGTTCTATCAATAGTATATCTGATACCTTTTATTATAAACATTTTAAATGCCTGTTAAATGTAGAAAAATATCTTACACTCCCCATACCAGTACATCTGAGAATATGTATGACTCGTTTCAGATGTAGCAAGTTTAAACTTGCAATTGACTTGGGGAGATACACAAATGTCCCATACACTGAACGATTATGTAAATATTGTATAGAAAATGGTATATCTTTTATTGAAGATGAATTTCATGTTTTACTTGTATGTGAGCGTTATTCAGCCCTAAGAAATATGTATCTTAAACAGTATATCAAGTTTCAAACTGTAACATCTTTTACTGAAATTATTTCATCAGAAAACGTTGATGTTGTATATAACACATGTTTATATCTATATAAAGTCCAACGGCTAAGAGAAACTTAAATCGATTACTTCCTTGGCATGCGTAGTTCATGCAATCAACCATTGTCTGTATTATGGGCCTATGGCCTTCTTACTGAATAAACTGTCTGTCTGTCTGTCTGTCTAATGTCCTTAATCGTTTTCAGCCATATCAAGTATAGATGCATCTGTAAGGCTCGCATTTCACCGATCTGATTCTACGTCATCCATCGTGTCAGTGATCTCGCCGAGAAACAGTTCAGATTAGTTTATCCGGGTACTTATTGCTAGAAAAGAACACAGAATAATTAGTCTACTTCCTTCGTTCACACATTTGTATCTATTAAAAACTACAGCTTCATTCAATCACGCATTCTATAAAAGACCATCGTTACCCCTGCAAGGAGCCAGGCATCGTCTAGACTGGGTTTCGGATCCTCTGCACGTGTTGATGACGTCGCCGTCTGCGTTGACGCATTGACGTTGTCGAGTCCTCACACCGACACCGCACGTCACCGAACAGGCGCTCCACAGATCCCATTTGGTCCAGTGGCTTTTTCCTGTAACAGGGGAGTTTTGTGTGTGATATATATGTGAGTGAGTGAGTGTTTGTTGTTTAACACCGCACTCAGCAATATTCCAGCTAAATGACGGCGGTCTGTAAATAATCGAGTCTGGACCAGACAATCCAGTGATTGACGTGAGTGAGTGAGTGAAGAGGATGATTGTACGCAGCCTTTCGTACTATTCCAGCAATATCAGGACGGGGGGCACCAGAAATGGGCTTCACACATTGTACCAATGTGGGTAACGAACCCGGGCCTTCAACGTGATGAGCGAACACTTTAACCACTAGGCTACCCCGCAGCCCCAGACTAGAGTGAGCTGGGTTTGACGGGATTTTGTAGAGTTTGCAAACATACCACGTCGTGCCAGTTTAAAGGGGAGTTCATGTTGACCACAATGGCATATCTTAAATAAACACAGATATGGTGATGACACGTCCGGAATCATATTGAGGTCGAACCTCAGATTCGAACCAATGGTCAAAGACATATAACACTTGGCACCGAGATAAGTCTTCATCGACTTTATATACTGAATTCAGCAGAAGCAGATGAGGTGAAATGGGGTTTAACGTCGCGTCCAAGATTATTGCATATATATAGCGACGTGCGTGTGTGCGTTTGTCATCGTTTTGACTTATGACGTTTTTATAGTGCTAGCCCACTGAGATACCATGCTGCAGTTTAACATGAATACCCCACTCAGACACAGTATATTGCCTCCGAGCTTAGCAGTCCTGTGTGTTATTCTCGTAATGAAGCCGGGAATCGAACCCCGGACCTTCCTCTCTCCGGGCTTACGCTCTACCACTAGACCACGGAGACGGCCCGTGTCTCAGTTTGAGTTGAGTTAACCCCAATGTCTGAACCTTTTGTCAGAAAATTGGCACCACACACTGTACTACGTTTTCATTTTGTTGGAGTCGGAATATTTGTTTCGCTAACTGCATGTAGACATACAAACTTTAACTCCAAAAGGAAGTGTATATGTATTTTGTAATACCCTCGGCTAAATGTGAGGAATCCATATTGGAACATGACTATCACGTGACATAACACATCCTACCGGCAGAAGTGATCCTTACATAACGGTTCAAACAAAATGCTTCTGAACGCTTTTGTTTTAAAATCAAAGCCTACACATGTACCTAATTTCTGTTAAGTCCACAACAACCCGTCTTCACAGACAGCCGTCGTGTCATACGAACTTTATGCGGGGGTTCTGGCGTTACACGGTCTACTCATGAAAAATCACTACACCATTGTTGCCCGAGGTATTATGGATGTAACGGAATCAGCCGAGTGAATCCGAGTGCGTGATACAGCCAGATGAACGCACCTAAATCACTTAAACAGACAGACTCACAATATCTCACAAGACGTTCAAGTAGTTAATCAATTAGAATAATGGACCCCGACAATGGCCACCTGTTAAAAACGGAATCAAATTGTGGTATTCCCATATAGGAGGGCCCTTTTTCTAAACACGTGTAAACAATAAGTATGTTTGTTGAGCCGAGCAATACCTTAAGCTTACAAAAGGATATCGATGTTCAGTGTTTATCATCCATCACATCAGAGAGACTTCAGAATGTGTGTGAGAGGAGACACAACCGCAAGGCACTGATTGATGACATGGCTAGGACTTTTGTGTTAGACCGATAGCAACGATGACGTTTGTCAGTTTGATGTTACGGCCGACTATTAAATTTTCCTGGGAGTGGGGAGACCGGGATTTGTTCCAGAGACTGAGTGAGTAAAAGTGTTACAGTTATATCACAGTGTGTCTGGTTATTGTGGGATGAAAACCCGAAGTGAAGCAGGCATCAGCGAGTGAGTATGGTTTTACGCCGCTTTTAGCAATATTCGAGGAATATAGGCTTCACACATTCTACCCATGTGGGGAATCGAACCCGGGCCTTTGGCGTCACGAGCGAAGCTTTAACCAGCCGGCGACCCGACCGCCCGGATGCAGGCAACAGTGTGGTGCTTACAAATCTAGAAACATAATCGGGAATTATAAACATATCACCGTATTTCCCTATAGTTCCTAACAACCTGACCGCCTCCGTGGTCTAGTGGTAGAGCATCCGCCCGGAGAGCGAAAGGTCCGGAGTTCGCGTCATACCAAAAGACGTTGAAAGATGGTACTTGGTGTTACCCTGTCTGGCGCTCGGCATTAAGGGGCTAAAACAAGGACTGGTCGGCTCGGAGTCAGTATACTGTGTCTGAGTGGGGTATTCATGTTAAACTGCGGCATGGTATCTCAGTGAGCTAGCACTATAAATCGGCATCAGTCCGGTTTAGTACAAACAGCCACACACACACACACACATGCACGTCGCTATATAAGTGCAATAATCTTGGACGCGACGTTAAACCCTATTTTACCTCACCTCACCTCACCTCACCTCACCTCACCTCACCTCCTAACAACCTCGGGTAAACCTACTAACCATCTCATCTTCCAAACCTTGGTTTTGAAGCCGTTCTCTTTCAAACCTAGGTTTTGAAATGGGTCACTTCTAAACCTGATTTGAGTTTTACATTTCAATTGTAATACCTTGGTTTTACAATTAACGTTTTACTAACTTGCCTATTGATATGAACACACATGTGGTTGATGATCAGTTACTAGTCACAAGTTTTTTTGCATAAAAATTTCATGAACCTGCAACCACACATATGTTGCTAAGTTTTGTAACCCACTGTTTTCCCACTGAGCTCCCTGGGTATGTGACAGGTTGTTCAGGGGGTCCATGCTTTGCGTGTTTTTTTCTCTCGCACGCTTTGATCGAATTCCCTTTATACCGCGACACACTGTATTGTTTCACTATAAGGTATGTCGATGTTTTCTGGTATTTCTTGCATTTAGACGGTTCATAAGTCGGATAAAACACGCCTTTTTCGGGTTGGTTCAATATGTTAAACCTTGAGCTCGGGAAAAGCCCGACATTTTCAACCAAAACCTCGGAGGCGTGTATTATCCTGTTGCATCCTAATGTACTTCAAACCCACCATCATAGGTTTCTTGCGATTCCAAGGGACGCAACTCTGCACAGCGAAATTGCGGACGACTTGGACGTCCCCTATTACCAGAGACAATAATCTGTTCCGGCTTCCAGATATTCCTATGATTGTGGGTTCGAATCCCGGTTCGCCCCGATTATGTTTCTAGGTTTGTCAGCACCATGCCCGTGCTCGTGGGTTTCACCGAAATGGTAAGCGTCTGAGACCTGCATCACTTCGGGCTTTCCTCCCACATTAAGCTGACACGCCGTGATATAACTGGAATACTATTAAAAGCGGCGTTAAACCCATCTCACTCACTCACTAATACCTCGGGTTACACTGGAGGCTGGTTGTGCAGAAGACGGCGGTCTGTAAATAATCGAGTCTGGACCAGACAATCCAGTGATTGACATCAGCGTTGCTGAAGAATAAGTCTTCAGCAACCCATGCTTGCCGTAAAAGGAAACCATTTTTGTCGTAAGAGACGACTAACGGGATCGGGTGGTCAGGCTCGCTGCCTTGGTTGATACATGTCATCGTATCCCAATTGCGTGGATGGATGCTCATGGTGTCAATCACTGGATTATCGAAATTATCGACTATTAATTTATAGCGGAAATGACAGCTGAGTGAGTATGGTTTTACGCCGCTTTTAGTAATATTCCAGCAATATCACGACGGGGGACACCAGTAATGGGCCTTCGGCGTGACGAGCGACCGCTTTAACCACTAGGCAACCCCACCGCCCCTTAATGACAGTTGATATACATGGCATTCGTATATACACATCTTTAGGTATAGCTGGCGTAATCTCTCACAGGGTCGTGGACATGACAAAGCATCATAAATGAGAGAGTGAGTGAGTTATTTCAGTTGTATCACGCAACTGTTGGATGTGAGAGCTAAGCCCGTACTGACGCTGGTTTAAGACTTGCGTCTCATTGGTGAAACCCACGGGTAAGGAGCTGACAAACCCCGAGCCATAATCAAACGAATCTGGGAGTCGAAACCGTGATCAGATTTCTGACGTCTCAGGGACGCAACTTAGACAAGCCAGCTTTTCCAAGATCGCAAAGGGGCGGTCGGTAGCCTAGTGGTTAAAGCGTTCGCTCGTCACGCCGAAGACCCGGGTTCGATTCCCGACAATGTGTGAAGCCCATTTCTGGTGTCCCCCGCCGTGATATTGCTGGAATATTGCTAAAAGCGGCGTAAAACCTCACTCACTCTCACTCACTCACTCACTCACTCACTCACTCACTCACTCACCCACCCACCCACCCACTCACCCACTCACTCACAGAACGCTAAAGACAACCTAACATGTCACACACTCTCTCCTCATATCACGATTATCAATCTATTATGGGTGATTTTTTATTTTATTTTTTTACTATATTGCGTTGTCATTTATTTTCAAAATTATGTTATGTCGATCACCCTTGTGCTGAGTGTTGCTTTCATAAGCAAATGTAAGTCAGGAAATTGTGTCTCACCTTTGCAGTTTTTCATATTGCAAGTCTTGGTTTGTGTTGTCTCCTGTTTGCACTCCAGTCCCCTACATGACCTTGACCTTGTGATCTTCCCCTTTCCGCAAGTGACGCTGCAATCTCCCCAAGGGCCCCACTGGCTCAACTCTGGATACAAAGGAAAGGTCATATAAAAAAGCATTGTTTGTTCATTTGTTTGTTACGCTGCAATAAAAGCTTCATCTCAGCTGAGTGGCTGATTTCGTTATAAGCAAGAGTGAGCAATATTCGACCTATATCACGACAGCCTGTAACTTATGGAGTCTAACAAATCAAAAGGACTCCAATCTTCCCATCGAGTCCAGACTGCAGTACAGTAACATTGGGTCACATAAGAATCGTCGATATTTCTCATAGCTACAGAAGTATTTTAACCAACACTAAATTAAAAGAAAGTGTTTTAAAACCGAACCTGGGCATGTGGTCTCCCCACATTCTTCGGTCTGTCGAGAAGTGCCGTCTTTACATTTTCTCCCTTCACATAAACTTGTCCTTGACCTTTCACCTCGTCCACAGGTCACACTGCATTCAGTCCATTCACTCCAGACTGCGAATAACAAAACATTATTGAAGGGCGTTATAAATGTCCGTTCTATGTCTTTTGCATGAAAAGTGTGGGCATAGAGTTATTTAATTCATGTTGAATGTTCGTTCAAGATCCAGGTGGGATTGGGAAATGAATTAAGCAACGAGGCAAATTATACCTGAAAATAGTGTCTTATTTATTGGTCTGTTAAGAACCGACATTGGTTCCAACATTTTATGTATTACGTAGGTTTGGATGATTACGTACACACAACATCAGTCGGATGTTTCGACCCTATATCCTGTTTTATAGGGGACAGTTTCTCACACGACACTAATAATACAACAGGCTGAGGGCGAATATGCCGAACTGATGACCTGACCTTCGAAGAGGAATCAGCTGTTGGCATCACGGTTTTGGTCTATTTCAAGTGATTTAGGGAGAACAGATGTAGCGTTAGATAATATTGAAGAACTCACTACGAGAACAAAAATCTGATGTAAGGTGCCATCGTTCCATACTTACTTATACAATCCGTGTTTTTGCAAGTGTTTGTTTCTGCTGATTCTCCTCTACATCCATTGACAACAGAACATGACCTTGACCTTGACCGAGTACCGGTGTCACATGTTTGACTACAAGGACTCCAATCTTCCCATCGAGTCCAGACTGAAGTACAGGGACCATGTTAACATTCGGTCACATAAGAATCATGGATATTTCTCATAGCTAAAGAAGTATTTCAACCAAAACAAACTCAAAAGAAAGTGTTTAAAAACCGAACCTGGGCATGTGTTCTCCCCACATTCTTCAGTCTGTCGAGAAGTGCCGTGTTTACATTTTTTCCCGTCACATGAACTTGTCCTTGACCTTTCACCTCGACCGCAGGTCACACTGCATTCAGTCCATTCACTCCAGACTGCGAATAACAAAATATTATTGAAGGGCGTTATAAATGTCCGTTTGGGGGCCCTGCATGGTATGGGTGATCGTAAAGTTACACAGACATTCTATGGAAGACGCAGATTGGAGTAGAGGATGATTTAAGTCAGCAAATATTATAATAGGATCTTATTCATACGTCTGTCAAGGACTGACCTTGGTTCCAACGTTTTGTTTGACACGCAGGTGGGATAATTCCTTTTATCTCACATGGGACGAATGATAACGGTATATCTTGTTTGACGAGCGACTAGTTTCTCACACAGCACTAATTATACAGGACATACTGCAGATCGAATATGCCTGGTCGTTGATCCTATTTTGACAGTGGAGCCAGGATAAGTGAGTTAACATTGGTTTAACGCCGGTTTGGAAAGTGGTTCAGTTCTATCGCGGCGTTATGTGTGTGTGTGTGTGTGTGTGTGTGTGTGTGTGTGTGTGTGTGTGTGTGTGTGTGTGTGTGTGTGTGTGTGAGGGGGGTAGGGGTAGGAGGGGATGGGGGGTGTGGAAGCATCAAGTGATGCAGGTCTTGTTTGGTGTAACACAAGAGTACAGTATGGTGCCGACAAACCTAGAAATATAAGTGGAGCTAGAGCTTGGCACCACGGTTTAGTCTACTGCAAGCGAAGACCTGGAGTTTTTCGGCCCTGAGTGAAAGAAAACCTATACATATGGGTTCGAACATAGTACATAGGTTCTTTGGATCACAGCACGGCAAAGGGCATGGGAAAGGTGAGAAACATGACACATTATATAAATCATTACAACCCACCTGTCGACACTATCCTATCTCAAGGCTCTCCCCGAGACGATAACACCTTTGCCACATTTCTGTGACCTTGACCTAAGATCAATACCGTTTGAGACGCTGCATGTATCCCACGAGTGATATTGATATTTCAAGTGATCATGAGAATAAAATGTAGCTTAGTGCAATATAGACGCAGTCACTTAGAGAACAAAGTCATATCAGCTGTTATAGTTCCTTACTTACTGAGACAATCCGTGCTTTTGCAACTGTTTGTTTCCGCTGATTCTCCTCTACATCCATTGATAACAGAACACGACCTTGACCTTGACCTCGTTCCAGTGTCACATGTTTGGCTGCAAGGACTCCAATCTTCCCATTGAGCCCAGACTACATCATAGAGGACAGTCTTAACATTGGGTTACATCAGAATCGTGGATATCACACAACTGCAGCACTATTTCAATCAAAACAAAATTAAAAGAAAGTGTTTTAAAACCGTACCTGGGCATGTGGTCTCCCCACATTCTTCGGTCTGTCGAGAAGTGCCGTGTTTGCATTTTTTCCCTTCACATGAACTTGTCCTTGACCTTTCACCTCGTCCACAGGTCACGCTGCATTCAGTCCATTCACTCCAGACTGAGCAGAACAAAGTATGAATAAAGGGCGTTATAAATGTCCATTTCTGTGACTGTTGGATAGAATGTGTGAAAACGTATTCAAGAAATCACTACAAGAAAAAAAATATGATATTAGCAGCCATCGTCCTGTACTTACTTATGCAATCCGAGTTTTTGCAATTGTTTGTTTCTGTTGATTCTCCTTTACATCCACTGACAACAGAACACGACCTTGTCCTTGACCTCGTACCGGTGTCACATGTTTGACTGCAAGGACTCCAATCTTCCCATCGAGTCCAGACTGCAGTACAGAGGACAATGTTAGCATTCGGTCACATAAGAATCGTGGAAATCTCTCATGGCTAAAGAAGTATTTTAATCAAAACAAAATTAAAATAAAGTGTTTAAAAACCGAACCTGGGCATGTGTTCTCCCCACATTCTTCGGTCTGTCGAGAAGTGCCGTGTTTGCATTTTTTCCCTTCACATGAACTTGTCCTTGACCTTTCACCTCGTCCACAGGTCACGCTGCATTCAGTCCATTCACTCCAGACTGAGCAGAACAAAGTATGAATAAAGGGCGTTATAAATGTCCATTTCTGTGACTGTTGGATGGAATGTGTGAAAACGTATTCAAGAAATCACTACAAGAACAAAATTATGATATTATCTGTCATCGTCCTGTACTTACTTATGCAATCCGAGTTTTTGCAATTGTTTGTTTCTGATGATTCTCCTTTACATCCGTTGACAACAGAACACGACCTTGACCTTGACCTCGTACCGGTGTCACATGTTTTGCTGCAAGGACCCCACTCTTCCCATCGAGTCCACACTGCATGATAGAGCACAATATCAACGTTGTCACACCAGTATTGTGGACGTTTCTCAAACCTCTTAATTAATTTAAAACTAAACTGAAAGAAAGAAATTGATTTTTATGCGAACCTGGGCATGTTGTCTCCCTACACTCTTCGGTCTGTCTAGAAATGCCGTGTTTACATGATTTTCCGTCAGAACATGAAATCGTCCTTGACCTTTCACCGAGACCACAGGTCACACTGCATTCTGTCCATTCACTCCAGACTGCGAATATAAAGGACGAGAATATATGACTTTGTTTACATGTCGTGATGGTTCATTGAAGATCTTCATACAGAATTCCCAACTGGTATCAGGTAGGATAAGAGGATGATTTAAGCAACAAACACCATACATTTACACAATCCAGATATTACACTAAACCAAACTCACTCACCCACTGACTAGATACCTAAACGCTACTTGGCTTCACTGACCAGGACAATCCTCCACTGAGCACTCCACGTTGTCCTCCGACGCCCCCACACATTCACTGGCGTCCCCCGAGTTGAGGCAGCTTCTCGTCCTCCTCTTCTGCCCCGCCCCACAGGTCTTGCTGCAGGTACCCCAGCCGCTCCACTCGCCCCACACAGCAGGCACTGTACACACCCACAACACAATATATATACTACTCAAAACACGTTAAAGAACCCACAATTGGAAGGCTGTGTGATGCAGTACCCACCGGCCGTAGCAGATTGAATATTGTCATGAAAAAAGGTGTTCCTTAACTTCTTTGAGTGGTATACATAGGGATGACATATCTCCACTGCCTATATCTAGATCAGGTAGTCAAAACTGTTTTATGAATAAACACTTCCAATGTACGTTGTTACACATAAAACAGATTTTTGTCTACTTGTCACATGTCAATTTCCAGGGAAGTATTAACATTCTAGTGGGCTGATAGGTGACAACAAACTATCAAATATTTCCACCGAGATCTAAGCGTTGACGAAACGTGCAGTTAAAAATTTGTCCTCTCGAAATCATGTCGAATTATCTGAACTTCGAAACAAGCAGACTGTCATATAACTTGTATGGTACTTGGTATTTCTGCACTGTACCCGTGATCGTTGGTTTCGTTGCTATATGTGGTACAGTAAACTTCGTTTATAACGAACACGCTTATAACGAACTGACGGATATGACGAACTTATTTTTTGTCCCGGCCACTTGTTGTTGCCACCTTTTACGACAATCATGGGTTGATGAAGACCAATTCTTACCCGGATTTACACAGGGGTTAAATGCACACTGTCCACATTAACGGGGGTTGCCTGTACTCACGTTGGCACTTGTTAGAGCACACCTCCGTCTTGGCGGCTTCCCCTACACACTCCCCTGAAGCATCAGAAGCACGGAGGCAGGTCCGGGTCCTGGTTCTAGATCCATCCCCACAAGACACTGAACAGTCTGTCCACTGACTCCAGCCAGACCATCGCGCGACAGCTGGAACAGTGAACAAGGAGCGGGGCAGTTCAGAAACTTTCAACTTTCTTGCAGCTTTTAGTAAATGGTATTATTTAAACGAGTGTTGGACCAGATTCGTGTCGTTTATTGACACGGGTCCCAGTCGTCTCAGGCGCCGCGATTCGTCGGCAGAGTTGCGTCCCTTGGACACGCCAGAAAACTATGATTGTGGGTTCGAATCCCGGTTCGCCCCAATTATGTTTCTAGGTTTGTCAGCACCATACCTGCTTCACTTCTGGCTTTCCTCCCACATTAAGCTGACACGCCGTGATATAACTGGAATACTGTTAAAAGCGGCGTTAAACCGCGGCCGGGGATCGTACCCCAAACCTTCCGCTCTCCGGGCTCTACCACTAGGCCACGGCTTTTAGCAGAGATTTCTATTGAACATGGAAAGGGTTTTGTGCTTCTATTTAGATTATATATTTACGTAAAGCATAAAAACAAAGTACTTCAAGGACTATCGATGTATCCAACAAACAGGACGTGGATGTCAATGAACTTATATCCTGGGTTCCTGATTCGGAAAAAGTCAAATGTATAATCACTTCAATCAGAGTCCATATATCGATTTATCGATATGGGGTCTCTAGTCCAATACTCACACAGTTGTATCTCGCAGACAAAAGGTAACGATTCTGTGCAGTCCCTCAAATCCCAACTCTTGCTGTTGCCTTTGCTGCCGCTGGACCTGAGCGCCACGCAGTGTCCGGATCCAGAGGCTTCGTTCAGCATCTTCTTCCAGTTGGACTTTGTGACGTCACTTCCGTCTGCATACCGGAAGACGCGGTCCTCATCCTGATTGTGCACACCCATCCAGAAATGCGGTACTGAATCTCTGAGTGGACACGGAATAGCCATTTAATGCCAAGCCGCTGTGACAGAAGCATCACCTTATACAACTAAAGCCAGACCGTTAACACCATACGTCGGTCGTGGTCATTTTTTACCCACTTTCGTTTTAAGGGTTTATTATATGCCTTCCAGTGCGTTAAGTGACTGTTTTTTAATTCTCTTTAATAGGTAATTATACTTTTTTTTATCAAATCAGTTCCCAGACATGTTTAAAAACCGCCGGGCAAAAGTAACTGTAAATTTGAATATTGGACGCGAACAAAAAATAGTGAAAACAGTCGCTAAAACACTGCAAACTTAAGGTCCAAAACACAACCATGATACCGTCTCAAATATCGCCTGGAAGGTAATTTAAGGTACCGACGTTGACTACAATATCTGAAAAACTATGGGACCTACTCCAGTCAAAGTTGGTATGAGATTATTAAACAGTCATACATAACTGGATATTACATTTAAAGACAATCGGTGCATGAATAAAAAATCTGTCTATTTAGCTATCACTATATTTCATCAACAACCAGACCTATACATCACCATCGAATAACAATTTCTTTCTTGTTTCATTTTGGCCTCCTCCAAACATGGGTGCATACTTTCTTTTGTTCAGCGGCTTACTAAATTACCTTTTATCGTGATTTTGTGTTATGATTGTGTTATATACTCACCGTCTAAAGAAACGTGAACCATAGAAACATATAGAGATGTATGTATGTGAAGAAGTGATGTTTCCAATCTGCACCACTTAATGACAAAACTAACAATCAGTCAAGTGTTACCACAGTGTCTTTATTCTTATGGTGCACGATATTTCCAAACTTACACGTTAATCCTGCACAAGACAAATGGTGCATCTCGTGTCATGGATCTATGACGTCACATGTGATGCGTTCATGAGCGTCGATTCACACCACATACCAGTACGTTCGTTTGTGCATCGAACCAATCAAATATCTCTTGTTTATGGGCCCGTGAAGATCCGGGTAGAAAATGTCTTCATCAACCCAAGCTTGCAATATTCCAGCTTTATGACGGCGGTCTGTAAATAATCGAGTCCGGACCACACAATCCAGTGATTAATATCATGAGCATCGATCCACGAAATTGGGATACGATGACATGCATCAACCAAGTCAGCGAGCCTGAGTGAATGAGTTTGGTTTTAAGCCGCTTTTAGCAATATTCCAGCAATATCACGGCGGGGGACACCAGAAATGGGCTTCACACATTGTACCCACGTCGGGATTCGAACCCGGGTCTTCGGCGTGACGAGCGAACGCTTTAACCACTAGGCTACCCGACCGCCCCTCAGCGAGCCTGACCACCCGATCCCGTTAATCGTCTTTACGACAAGCATAGTCACCTCGTATGGCAAGCATGGGCTGCTGAAGACCTATTCTACCCCGGATCTTCACGGGTATATGCATTATTAAATAGTTTTATGAATAAAGTTTAAACGTTTTCGTCTTCTACTTACATATGTTTGGCAATTTCTTTGATCTTTTTGAAAACCTTGGCCACCTCGTCCTGTGACTTAAATATGAGCAGTGTTCCGCCTCGGGTCTCACAGTCCTTCTCGCCAGCGTTCCACGTCTTCGTCGTCGACAGATAATAGTAGCACGTCGAATCCAGCTGGGCCCAGTTGTTTCCGGGGCACACATCTACAGCATCAAATCACAGGTTTATAATGAAAACAACAAACCACTTTACATTAGGAAAACTTTAAAGACATCTCTGTTTAAAGCAGAGTCCGGGGAAAAGATGAGCGTGTACTGCCCAACCAGTGGTATCTTAACAAATGCATGCAAAGGCAAGTCAAGTGTTCACCTGAAATAACACGGGAACATTTGAAGCTAAAATAGGTTAATACACCAAATATCAATTTGGTAACTAATGCGTCTAACCTACCATTAAACTTTTGAAAACCTTAATGGCCTTGAACGTTGTATCTCTGATAGGCGACATGGGCGGCCAGTCGTCTAAGGCGCCGCAATTCGCTTTGCAAAGTTGCGTCCCTTGGGTACGCCAGAAATATGTGATCGTGAGTTCGAATCCCGGTTATCATGTTGTCAGCACCATACCCGTGCTCGTGGGTTTCACCAAAGTGGTAAACGTCTGATGCCTACATCACTTCGGGCTTTCCTCACACATTAAGCTGACACACCGCATTATAACTGGAGTACTGATCAAACATGGTCAAACCTCGTTTACCCTAAATCCCGACTTGAGGGACATTATCCAGAAAACGAGGTGAATGGGTTAGGTGGTTTTTCTGTAATATTGAACCTATTTTAGGCGTGTGAGCATAATATGGGAGGGGCGATGGTGTCTCCTAGTGGTTAAAGAGTTCGCTCGTCACGTCAAAGGCCCGGGTTCGATTCCCACATGGGTACAAAATGTGAAGCCCATTTCTGGTGTGAAAATGATTTAACGCCGCTTTTACCACATTCCATCAATATCACGGCAAGGGACACCAGAAATGGGCTGCCCACATTACTGAACGACAAGCCCACCGCCCAAAAATACAGTAATATGAAATAATCGGGTGTTCATTAACTTCTTTAATTTGTTTTAAGTAGTATACATAACTGCAGGGTTCTGGTTGTCGTTGATGAAGTTAAGTCGTGTCATCATTAAAAAATATTAATGTACCCGCAAACTTAGGTCTCGTCTAAGGCGCCGCGATTCGCTGTGCAGAGTTGCGTCCCTTGGGCACGCCAGAAACCTATGATTGTGGGTTCGAATCCCGGTTCGCCCCGATTATGTTTCTAGGTTTGTCAGCACCATACCCGTGCTCGTGGGTTTCACCGAAGTGGTAAACGTCTGAAACGTGCATCACCTCGGGCTTTCCTCCCACATTAAGCTGACACGCCATGATATAACTGGAACACTGTTAAAAGCGGCGTTAAACACAACTCACTCACTAGGTCCCGTTCTTGAAAACAAACATACACTTACGTTTTATGTCACATTTACAGCCCTACAACAGCTGTTCCGCTGTGATCATATAGTGGAACAGAGAGTCGTAGGATTCATTTAGAGTATTTCTGATACCAATATCAGTACACAATGGTTACAAGAACATCAGCCATGCTTTAAAGCGAAAATAGATATCTTTCATTTATTGCCATATCAGTGTTTGAACGTGATTGTGTAAAATATATCAAATCATTGATTAATCATCAGACTGAAACAATATTCTCCAAGGCGTGACGAATAATGGTTTCATTCCCTTGTCTGGATGTCAAATGTCTATCAGTCTGCAAGACAGACATAGGTCGTAAATGTCGTGCCATTAACAGTCGGATATGGTTTTACACAATATCAATGATCTGTCTTTACGAGTATATATCTTATCCACAGGTTGGTTGGTTTGTTTTTTGTTTAACGCCGCACTCAGCAATATGCAAGCTATATGACTGCGGTATGTAAATAATCGAGTCTGGACCAGACAATCCAGTGATTGACATCATGAGCATCGATCCGCGCAATTGGGATCGATGACATGCAGCCTGACCACCCGATCCCGTTAGTCGCCACTCACGACAAGCATAGTCGCCTTATACGTCAAGCATGGGTTGCTGAAGACCTATTCTACACCGGATCTTCACGGGTCTCCGATCAACAGGGTTCTCGCCAAGAGTCGTTACACTTAGTCAGACTAAGACCTTGAAACAAATATTTTCAAAACAGCCCACGCAAGTCTATTATAGTGGCCAAGTCTAGATTACTGCAGTATCAGGAACTTGCAGAGTCTCTGGGCTCCTTATTGTTATATTTTATTAAGATAATTTAACCCCAAAAAAATTCTGTAAGATATGTTCCTTTCAGAGACGAGATGTTAGTGTACGTGACACATGGTAACTTAACACTCTGTGTAAACTGATGGGGAAAATAATGCATTGCACACCCAAGTTTGATGGTGGATGAAAATGCCGTACGATAACACTGGCAATCATCAAAATATCCAAGCCTTCTTACCCGATCCATGTTACCCTGCCGGGCAAAAGCATATACATACATGCTTGATGGTGGTTACAAATGCAACAAACAAGTAATAGTTATTCGATCGCGGTGTAATTAATACGGGTTTCAAAATTGTGTTTCGTCAGAGACCATAAAATAGACCCTCTATTATATGGTCTCTGGTTTCGGGGACTGTTTTTCAGCATTGTGACGTTTTTATAACGTTTCTAATGTTTAGGCCAAATCTAATTTTCATGCGTATACTTTCTTTTACCCGGCAGTTTATATCGATAAAAATGTGAACGAGCGTTTCAGGTCTGTTACAGAGTGCCAGTTTAATGTTGGAGGAAAGCGGACGGGTATATATGGTGCTGAAAAAGCCAAGGATCATACTCGGATTGAGTCTGGGATTCAAAATATTGAAATTGAGATAACCAAGGATGGAACATCGGTTATCCTTCTGTCATGTACGGTTATCGGTTATCGTAAACACTGTAATCTTTGGACCGGAAAGGTCAAAGAAAATTTGATCAGTAAGATCGTCCCACGTGATAGACTCCAACGTGTTCTTTAAAACTTTGATTATTTTTGCAATGATTATTCTTGTTTTGAGGAGTTCTTGTTGCCTCATCGATCGTGTTTGTTAATTTAGGTTTCTATGGAAACATAAGTTTGGTTTTGTGGTGCTTATTATTACCGGAACCGAGTTTCTGTACAGAGCCCGGTTTCATTTTAGATAGAATATCCCGAAAACTCCTTTTTCGTTCTGAGTCTTATTTTTAATAATTGCATTTGTTTTAATATCAAATTAGGTCTCACCTGTTGTCTTCGTCTTTTTATGAGCGTCTCCTTCATAAATCCAAAAGGCAGAAGCCAGTACAAACAGAAAACACACACTTGGGAAACCCATGTTCCTTTAGCTTAAGGTATCCAGCCATTAACACTTCCCAACTTTCCTGAGTATAAGCGCACTCCCTTTCATCTTAAGAAAGAGTGACACAACCTCCACCATACCAACAGCCTTTGTCTTGGGAACAAATCAGCCCTGGCAACCATTTCAACGCAGTTTACAAAACCATTAAATGGCATCAATGGCAACAATGGTTCCCGGCCCCAGCAACCAATCAGCGCGGGTATTCTACCCGGTATTGGAACCGTCCAAGACCTGTCGATATCCCATGAAGCGGCGCGGAGGACGGTCGTGTTACAGTGCCTATATTGGACAAAAGCTGTGATTGAATTTCTCTGTATCTTCCTTTTCACTTGAAAGCATCGGAAGCGTACAGGCACATGCGTCCTGGTGGTTTTAATATAACGTCAACTCTTTCTTTCTAAACGTTAATGTTTCTTTGACTCGTGGATTATATTTTATACTCCGTATGTCCGACTGCTTCAAAATATTTTATGGGTCGATTCCTTTCGCCAACTTTGTTTTTTCAGGTCATCTGGGTTAGACATCTCTGTTGGAATAACAGTAGTTAAATCTGGAGATAATGCATGTGTATTTAACGCTATGGAAACCTCACGGTTCGCTGATGTGCGTTCACGCACCAGTTGTACCTGTTGTCGGAGAGTTAGTGGTGGAATAAAATATCCTGATTGTTCCTAACAGCTGGTAACATCCACTCATAAAATGCATTTATAACAAAAGTTAAAATACACTCTGTGGATGTTGTTTGTTAACGAACGAACTAAATAAGCACATTTACGATGATAGTGTTTTTATAAGAAATTATTCATGATGACTTTTCCGTGGCATTGATGGAATGGTATTAAGTGATAAGAGATTACTAACGATGACTTGACAGTGCTTATCGTGAAATGACATTAAGTTATTAGGAACAGCTAAATAATGACATTTCACGACTGGTACTAAGATATTAAGAACGGCTTGATTGTGATTGTCGTGATATGACAAAGTTATTAAGTGAGTGAGTGAGTATGGTTTTAAGCCGCTTTTAGCAATATTCCAGCACTATCGGAGCGGGGCATTAAGTTATTAAGATCGGCTTGATTGTAAACCGACACCGAACATAAACATTTCCGAGATAGTACGCCCTTTTAGATATATAAACTAGGGCTGGTACGGGTAACTCGGGTACTCGTGACGGGTGGGTACTGAGAAGGACCCGGGTACCCACAGGAGGTAAAACTTCAGTCAATTTCAGCGTATGCATGACCAGATCGTTTTATACGTGTATCCTAATACATTTTGTCTAGGGCTACGGTCAAACTATTCCCCATCAGACATTTTGTACCTATCTCTTGAGACCTGAAGCGGGTACCCGGGTAGCGTCGGGTAATAGGGGATGGGTATCCGGGAAGTAAATTTGGACTCATCCCAGCCTTAATGTATACTGATGGAAATGAATAAGGGAAACTTAATTTCTTCAGCTTCCCAGTCAGAATGTTCGCCTGATGTGACGTACCTGTACAATCCACAGGTAGATACGTATTGACGTACAGATACGTATTGGGTATAGAGTGAAATATCTGATCTGAATGAGATTGACAGTTACCGGAAGTACAGAAGATTGAGCGTGGTATCATTATGTCTGTGGGTGCAGAAAAGGGACTGTTCTCCCAACACGGGTGTTCTTGTGAAGCAGTGAACCAGAGCTTGGTGTGACCCACTAACCTACCCGCGTATCAGCGCTCACATTCCCCGTGGGAATTGTGTTACCAGATCCAATTACATTATGCATCTGCACGCGCCCAGCTAAATCACAATTAAAAACACTCCGACAGGAATAACAGGCAGGTGAATAAGATCGAAGTCAGAACGAATGGGTCTGATACATTTGTGTTAATCCAACAACGATCCTCAATTTATTTAATGGGTATCATGCTGTGCTATGAGCATTAATAAATCTAAATGAAGTAGCATTGACTCTATGGCCTATATTAGGACGCCTGTCATAAAAAGGGATTGACTATTGCTGTACAGACAGACCAATAAATTCCACTGTAAATTAGTAGTGATATTCATCCAAATTTTTTCAAAATAGTGCTTCGCCTCACCATCTCGCTATGATTATGTAATCAACACTGAGAACATAAGTATTTTACATATGGAACAAGAAACTAAATATCGACACTGTTTGTAAATCGCAAAGAATGGATGTTCTCTTGTATAACACAAACTGCCGGGTAAAACCGTATCCGTCACCCATGTTTGATGAGGCTAAAAATTTAACAAACATAAAATGGTTATTTGATAGTGATGTATTTGATAAGGATGTCATAGTTGTGTTTTGGGCCTTACGTTTGCAGTGACGTTTGATTTTTGTGTCAGATCCAATTTTCGAGTGTGTAGTTTCTTTTGCCCGGCAGTTTACTCGCACATCACACCAGTTTTACTTACTTTGCACAAAGTTTCAACTCTGAGCTCTATATAATTTTTAAGGAGAATAATGTTTGTAATGCCATTCATTTTTGGCAAATGCTTCGTATAAAACACACCAAACTCCTTATGATCTGAAAGTGATAAGTTATCATGAAGAGCAAGATATATGCCACAGATCAGCTTTCCCAGTCTGGCAATTTCAGAGATGCTTTCAGAGCCACAGTGCATTTTTGAGAAAATTTAAGAACATAATACCGTAAAATTGCTGGAATATTGATAAAAGCGGCGTAAAAACGTACTCACTCATATCGGTGATTTTTTTCGGCAGAGATTGTTTATGATTATGGAAAGGGTTTGTCGCTAGTATTAACATTGTGCGTGTCCTACATAAACTGATTCTATTTACTTCTTCCATCTTTTAAACACGTCACACCGCCTGGCGAGATTCCACGGCGAGATAGGTTTCCTGTTCCCCATATGCTTTTTTTTTCTGTCTTTATTCAATGTTGCCCATACTTGTCGGAAGAACCAACAAAGGATCGGATGGTAACAAAGTCCGTATCATCGTACCCCGACTCGGTGATCTTTTCTCATGCTGTCAGCAACGAGTTAGCCTCCCCAAACTCGTTGATCTGGTTCCTGACTACGACGTAAAATAATACTCTCTAGCTTGTTGCTGTACATACACGTCAATCATCATACAACCCGTAGAGATCCGTGTTAGAATAGGTCTTCAGCAACCCATGCTTGACGAAAAAGGCGACTGTGCTTGTTGTCGGGGGCGACTAACGGGACCGGATGGTCAGGCTCGCTGACTTGGTTGATGCATGTCATCGTATCTCAATTGCGTGGATCGATGCTCATGATGTCAATCACAATGGACTTATGTAGTGACGTTATATTTTGTTTAAACATAACTAGGTATTAAACAGCCATAACATATACACGTATCTACAGTCTGGCCTTAAGGCTGCAATAAAAGAACACATTTTGGCTACTTGGCCGGTTCTTTTTCCGAGTACCGGAAGCTAAACACAGTTCCGCACCAAATAATACCTGCCTGAAAATATCTGTGATCACAATCAGCATCATGCTCAAAAAGACAGCACAAAATGTTGAAAAACATGGTCAGTTTTAACTAGTGACTGACTGGATGTACATTTGAAAACTTCAAAATCTTTCAAAAATCGTCCAATCACAGCTGCCATATTTCTCAATCTACATTCAGATCTATGTTCCACGAAAACCACTTCCCGAAAGACAGATTTTGATTTGGTGGAGCAGAACCTCGTGTCCAGTGTTCAGCTCAGTTAGGTGCCAAATATCTGATATTGAGGGAGGGGAGAGGGGGGGGGGGGGGGGGGGGGGGGGGGTGGTGGTGGTGAATTGGAGGGGGTCGAGAAAACATGGTGTTGTAGGTCAAAAATAACTATGGTGGGCCTCCTTTTCAGAGAATGCCTGTTTTGAAGGCTGCATGACAGATCATGTCCCAACAACATAACACACTTCAGTGTCAGTTGTAGAGTGCCTTGACCTTTCGGGGGCTTTAGGCAGTATGTGTAAAATATCCTTGTGGCATCACAACCTGTGGTACACATTAGAGTGAGGAGATTCAACCTGTGTTAAATATCACTGTGTTTGTTTGTTTGTTTGTTTGTTGTTTAACGCCGCACTCAGCAATATTCCAGCTATATGACGGCGGTCTGTAAAATAATCGAGTCTGAACCAGACAATCCACTAATTGACATCATGAGCATCGATCCACGCAATCGAGATCGATGACATGCATGAACCAAGTCAGCGACCCTGACCACCCGATCCCGTTAGTCGCCTCTTACGACAAGCATAGTCGCCTTTTACCGCAAACATGGGTTGCTGAAGACCTATTCTACCCCGGATCTTCACGAGTCAGATATCACCGTGTCGCTTATTTGTCGATGTAGTGTGACCATAATAAAAATAGTATTCCATGGTTACGTCAGCAACCGAAAAAGAAAAACTTGTTTTATTCACTAAACGGTTTGTATCATGACTGAGGATCAGCATTAAATACATATTCACAGTAATAGCAAGGGCACAATTCGTGTTGACCACGTTGGAATTCCTAGTCAGGGAAGGTCCCCAGTAACGGATGATTGTTGCAAGAGGCGCCTCGATAGATTCATTGTTTGTCATCGTATCCCGTTTGTTGGTCTTGTTTGTTTACTAAATACATGATAAATAAACAAACAAACAAAACATCAAATGTAGCTTAAACATTTAACATAATTCTCATTTAACATTATACAACTGATCACATCCGTTCATCCGTTGCATAATTGACGGTAAAAGGATTAAATGAACGGTAGTTTGTTTTATGTCCAACCTCTAGAGAGGCTAAATAATCTACAGACGTTAAAAGATAGGACTTGTTATTCTATCTAGCGCTCGGCATTAAGGGAATAAAACAAGGACTGGTCGGATCGGAGTCATTTACTGTGTTTCAGTGGGGTATTCTCATACTGCAGCATGGCATCTCAGTAGGCTAGCACTATAAATCGGCATCAGTCCGGACTAGTACAAGCACACACACACACACACACACACACACAAACACACACACACACACACACACACACACACACACACACACACACACACGTGTACGCACGTTGCTATATAAGTGCAATAATCTTGGACGCGACGTTAAACCCCATTTCACCTCACCTCAAATTTCCTTAGATTTTTAAGGTCAACCCCATTCTCAACATAACTGCGCCCGAAATCACAAACTTAAGTATCACATCAAGAAGTTTTGATTATTTCAACGTGTAATCCACTTTTTAAACATGGCAACATTTACTAACATAGTTTTAATGCCAGACACGTTATAAGATCACAGCCTCGTCAGGGGTGACAAAGAAAACATCTACCGACTTCTATTTATTACAACGTGTGTATGAGTTAACAGCTCTTGTTTCTACTTGCACAAAGCATTATCATTTGCCTGTATGACGGGAAACACGATTTATACGTGGGCAAGAAATCTCTTCATATTACAGGCTGTCATAATCACAATATCACATTAATCAATCAATTCTATTTGGTAAATGACATTTCCATAAAGCGATA